GTATTTTGTGAAGAAAGATCAAACTACATTATAGTCCAAAAAATTGAAATTATATATTGTTTTTCTTTCTTATTATTATGTTTTCACAATGGCTAAGCCAAATTCTAGTACATATCTTGCTACCTAAATTTCAATGCTACCTAAATTTCAATGGTCTAATATAACAATTCAACATTAATCAACTTTTGGTGGAATAATCTGTATTCAGACAAAACCATGTGCTTTATTATTATTCCAAGTCAGCTACTTTAAAAATAGGTCTTGGGCCATTATAGAGCCGATTGCGTCTGTCTCTCTTCTAGCCCAACAAGGGTTTGGTTCGCTGTTTTTGCCGTTGCTATCGAATCTAAGATACGAACCGGAATGAATAGTTGAATACTGTTCGGTTTAGCTAAACCATCCCAACTATCACAACCATCCCAACTATTTACAAGCCACCTGGAATTACGTATGTTCTTTGGTTTTACAGAAGTTGGCGTCATCATTACTCTTGCTTCATTTTGTAGTCCAGTTTCTAATGAAACACTCGTGTGTGTGTTTTTCCCCCAGAATGACTACACCAAACGGTAGATTCATCACGCAAACGAAAATCTGTTTGTCTATGAGTGATTGTAAGCTCAATGGTGCACTTCTATTTGGTCTTTGGTTGCAAGTAATTGTTTTGATATCTGATTAACTTTACATGACTTTCCAGTCCATCCAGAGAGCTGGAACCCGATGTGGTCTGTATCAAGGTATGAATACTCCTTTTCATACTATAGTTGACTTTCACAATGTTCATATAATGATTGAAAAATAAAGATCAAGAAATCTGTAGCTAACCAACTTTATTCGTGAATGCAGCATACTTACAGGACTTCTTTACGTATTTGGCATTTTTCTTTGTTTAGCAAAAATATCAAAAATTTGTAGCTTTAGAAATCTATATAGAACATCATTATAAGAGATTTGTGCTTTAACATTTTTTAGCTGTGAAAAGATTTTAAAACAAGAGTGAATTTGGTAGAAAACCAAAACAAAATGTGAAATTAGAAAAATATTTTTAATGGGACTGGTTGGTGTCTATGAACCATTAGATGAGATTTAGGGTATATAGTTAATTATGAAGTTTTGTATGTGTATAGAGTCTAAATACTTTTTAAAAAATTGCAAATTAGCAGCTTATAATGTTTTTCTTTTAAATTACTAGCTCAAGTGATTGATTCCTTCTCCGCCACTCCTCTCCTCGATGGAGCACAACTCGTCAGACGAAGACGAGGACCACCGGAAACGATGTATATGGACTTCTAAGCGTCTAGGCGTCTAGACATAGATGTAGAAGTACCAATAACCTAATCGGACCAAAAAATCACTAGTCAATTAGTAGGTACTTCTACATCTAACAAATCCATTATTATATTTTATATTATTATGTTGTGGTACTTCTACATAACTGAACATATATATTAAGTCCGTTAAAGCATAATACATATGTACTAAAATACACCATTTTGTTCAAATTGAATAAAACAGGTTCACTATAAAAAGCAACCTTTAAATCTTTATATTTATCAAATTCCAAATGCTTTTTTATTCCTATAAGTTTCAGCTTAAAAAAGAATCCCATAACATCATTAAATATGTTCATGGAAAGAATAATAATTTGACATTTAATTTTTGAGAGGTTAACTAGGTTTATTAACATATGATCATGCCCTGATTTTGGATACATAATTATTTATAAATTTGCAATGACCAGGATGAATAAATATTTAAAAGATCTTTGTTATCATCTAAATCCAGATTCTTCACAAACTCGTTTTTACACATAATTTGCACAAAACCAATTGTAGTCGATTGGCTCCTCCCACCATGGACATCAGTCCATACTTGCCACAAAACGCAATACTCAAGTTTGATGATCTGAATCCATTTTTCATCTATCAACATGGCGGAGGAAGAAATTGATCACTGGAAAAGAAAAGGGTATAGCTGCTACAATAAAATGTGATTCAGATGCAAGAAGTGAAGCAGAGAAGATATTTCAGCAGGTGGCCAGTGATTCACAGTAAGTTTCACATGCATTATGTCTATTTTGTATATACGTTGTGGAGATTACAAACCATGGTTGAACCTCTTTCTTATTTTGTAAGGTTTATTGGCTTGGAAGATCTCAAGCGTTTCCTTCCAGATGATGATGTTTTGAAGACTTAGACATATGAGGAGAATGAGAGCATCAAAATAAGTTTATCCTTCCTACATGAATGGATGGTAAAGATTCACATCGCTTAGCTTCTTTCACAACTTACAAAATATTGATTATCTTTGTGTGTGTGTATGTAAATTATTAAGATTCTAATTTTCAGGTTTACTCATTCAGAAAGGATAGATGCCTTCGCTTGTCCCTGAAAAACACAGATGCAGTGTCCAAGAAAGTTGGCAAGATATTCAGCATCGTAATTGGGGTTTTAATTGTTGGGGTTCTAATCCCACTGCTAGGATGGGGCGGGAAAATATACATGTCCACGATTCTCACTAGTTCCTTTGCCATCACATATCTTGGAAGATGGAGGAGGAAGAGGATGACATTGTTTGAGTTTCTGTGGACCTTGTTCACATTTGTTCTTGTTGTATTTTCAGACTGAGTCTAGCTTTAGTTTATGAATTGCTTCGTAATCGTTTTTCGTCTGGATCCTTTTTTATTACTTTTTTATGACATCTTCTTGTTGAATCTTATTTTGATTACTGTTCTGTTTCAATATCATTGTTTCTGTTTATTGTTGTTTCTGTTATTGTGAGACTCAAAATAGAGATGGTTTTTGTTTAGTCAAATGTTACAACGACCTTGTCAACTCTATGTTAGCAAAGAAGCTTTTCCTCAATGATCTTGGTATTTTTCCACAATTTTTTTGTTTGATGTTAATATTCAAGCTAGGGGACTAAGTTAGGATTATAGAACCGTATGGTTTTCAATTATACTACTTATATCCAACACAATTTCTATCAAAGAGGCCATATATGTTCTTCATCATCAATCAAATACAAAAAGTTTCCACTTAAAGTTTCAGTGACTTGTGACGAATCTAATTTATTCTAAAGATTTAATTGCGAGTTTTTCTATTTAATTTATAATGTAGATTGGTTGTAGATTTTTAGTTATTTTTGCTCAAGATTTGAGAATATTTTGCTCAAGATTTGCTTTTTAAAATTTATTCGAAATATAAAAATATTTGAGTTTAGCAAAACAAATCAAAATTTTTGTAGCTTTAGAAAATCTCTATAGAAACTTAACCATAATAACCGATTTGTGCAGCTAAAATGTTTTATAAAGTACAAATCGCCTATAATGTCTTTTTTTTTTATAAATAATTAGTATTATGTCCCTTGCTATGCAAGGGTAAAATAATTTCAAATTAAAAAATGGAAAACATTACATTAGTTAAAAATCTATAGTGTTCACCAACAAAAAGAAGTTATAAATCCAAATAGAAAAGAACATACCGTAGAAAACTTGAAGATTTGTAACGGATTATCAAACTAATTGAAAAATGAACCAAAATGAGAATATGTGACTTAGTGTAATCTAAGATCAACAGGTTCGTTCCACTTTAAATTGAAGTTGTTCTCAAAAAAGTTTTTTCACAAAAAAGAATGTGATATTACAAAGATTTTTAACAACCATGGACATCAAGAGAGAAATGTTGAATATGAATAGAAAACCTATGTAAAAAATAAAAATATTGGTTTTCTATGAATGTTTAAATGATTATTGAAGAAAGAATTAAACTAATGATTATTGTCATTTATCATATACAACAAACGAAGATTAAAAGTTGACCAAATGAATAAAATTATTAATATTGAAATTGTTTTTTTTTTACATTTTAGAAAACTAAAAATATTACCTCGTATGGTTGCATCTCCTTCTTGTTGCCCAAATAATTTGCAGATTTGGTTGAATTAGATGCGACAAACCTAATTCATAACCCTGAAATTAGGAGGACCATTGATTACCATCTAAATGAGTATAAATATATACAGCTTTAATAGTTAACGATTATTTTTTGAAGAATTTGAATGCATTTGAGAGTCGAAAACATTTGGCTGTTGGTTGTTCTTGTTCTACGTATTTATCCAGTGACTTGTTTTGAGAGTTTTATGAGTTTTACGTGAAACAAACCGTTTTTCTTCAAAAAAGATTTTGGTAAAAGTTTTTATTCAATCATTTAAAAGCATGCAAAAGAAGTGGAGATCATGGGAGAGTAGAGACATTGGAAGAACGGTTTGGCTGAAAAAAAAACTTTTTAATAATTATACTTTAAAAATAGTTGACAGACACAAATCTACATTTTCGTAAAAACACAAGAAAAATTAAATGACACATGTCATTCAGAAAATTGTCAATTGACTTCTGACTTATAATATAAAAGATAACTAGATCATAACCCGTCCGAGTGGGCGGGTCTTTGTTTTTATGGTATATATAACATTTCAAAATTACAATTTAGTGATTCCAATTTTACTAAGTAATAGTATATTGTTTAAACATTGTATTTCATTATCGTATTGTGTAACATGAACGTCGTAAAATATGTAAACATTTTAGTAATAGTTTATAAAGTTTTTTTGGCTGAATTTGGTGTAAAGTTATATACACTAAATAATTTAGGCAAATTTTTAATAAAGAATTGGAAGACTAGTATATAACTCTTAAAAACTTATAACAATAGTCAATATAAATTATATAAATAAAAAATATATTATTTTTGATTTATTCTAAATACATTTAAAACGTGAATATATATATGTATAAATAATTTTCAGAAGTAAAGTAATATCAATGATAGAAAATCCAAAAACAATAATAATGGTATATTAGGTCACAGTTATCTTTAGTTTAATAAATAAACCCATTAAATTTGTATATTATCCATGTTTCCAATCAAACTTTTAAAATTTTCTTATTTATATTTCCAAACACTTTATTTTGGTAGTCCAGCTTTAATAGTATAGAAGTATAGATTTGTTCTTCTTTCCCCGAGATTAGCAGAGCTCACTCCTCTCTCTCTCCTCCATGGATCACAACGAAGACGAGGACCACCGGAACTTAATCCCACATCACTCCGTCACCACCGCGAACGGCAATCGAAGTCCCCGATCGACTTTCCATATCGAGGAGGCCTTATCCCGATCCGGAAACCACCGAAAACTCTCACTCAACAAACGTTACGCCATCGCTGCCGTCTCTCTAACTCTCCTCCTCGCCTTCTTCCTCCTCTTATTCTCTCTAAATCCCTCAAACTTCAAACTCGATCCAATCTCGATCCAAGCCAAGGAATCAGAGCTCCGCGCTCTCTATCTTCTAAAACAGCAACAGCTCGCTCTCGTCTCTCTCTTGAACCCTAACTCCTCGAATTCAATTGACAATGTGAAATCTGCGATTTCACTTAGTAAAGAGATCGAAGAGACGATTCTATCACCACACAGGACAGGAAACTCATCAATCTCTAATCTTGGTTCTTCAGACAGTATCATTGATTCTTCTTCTTTATGTGGAAAAGTAGATCAGAACTTGTCGGAGAGGAGAACAATAGAGTGGAACCCTAAACAAGACAAGTTCCTCTTCGCGATTTGTCTCTCAGGACAAATGAGTAACCACTTGATCTGCTTAGAGAAACACATGTTCTTCGCCGCGTTGCTAAATCGTGTCCTCGTGATCCCGAGTCCTAAGTTTGATTACCAGTACGATAGAGTGATTGATATAGATAAGATTAATACTTGCTTGGGGAGAACTGTTGTTGTTTCTTTTGATCAGTTCAAGGAGAAGAAGGGTGCGGCTCATATTGATAGGTTTATCTGTTACTTCTCGTCGCCGCAGCTTTGTTATGTGGATGAGGAGCATGTTAATAAGCTTAAGGGGTTAGGGGTTTCTATTGGTGGGAAGCTTGAGGCTCCTTGGAGTGAGGATATAAAGAAGCCGAGTAAGAGAAGTTTTGGAGAGGTGGAGGAGAAGTTTAGGTGTGAGGATGGTGTGATTGCTATTGGGGATGTTTTTTATGCTGATTTGGAGAGGGATTGGGTGATGCAGCCTGGTGGACCTATTAAGCATAAATGTAAGACGTTGATTGAACCTAGTAGGCTTATTTTGTTGACAGCGCAGCGGTTTATCCAGACGTTCTTGGGAAAGAATTTTGTGGCGATTCATCTCCGTAGACATGGGTTCTTGAAGTTCTGGTGAGTTTTTTTTTGCATGTGTCTCTTTATTGGTTACATAAACGTGTCATTGTTTCCGTTATGTATCTTGATAGTGTAGGTAACACTTGATTGATTGCGATTAGAGTACCATTTGGTTCTGTTTTGTCAATTAGTATATAAATCTCCATCTAGCAGTGTGACATGTGCTTTGGTTAGACACTTCTGTTGATGTTCTGAGCTAGAGGCTAGGTTAGGATTTGATAAAACTGTGTCTTAATTATAGCTGGCTCTGTCTCTAATGAAATGATTATTTGGCCAGCAATGCAAAATCGCCAAGTTGCTTTTATCCGATACCACAAGCTGCAGACTGCATTAGTCGGATAGTGGAAAGAGCCAATGCTCCAGTAATCTATCTTTCAACCGATGCTGCAGAAAGTGAAACTGGTCTGCTTCAGTCACTAGTAGTCGTTGATGGGAAAGTAATTCCACTTGTCAAACGTCCACCTCGCAACTCTGCAGAAAAGTGGGACTCGTTGTTGTATAGACATGGCATAGAGGATGACTCTCAGGTAACCAATGACATTGCTTGTTCAGGAACTAACGACTTTTCTCTCTGAAAATCAATTGAAACCCTATCGCCACTGTGATATCTACCAGCAACAAAATTTAATGGACTATGAACTTGTAACGGTCTTTGTTTGATATTTCTCTCGTATTCACTTGCTTGTGGTTGTTTTTTTGGAATGTGTAGGTGGATGCTATGTTGGATAAGACAATATGTGCAATGTCAAGTGTCTTCATTGGAGCATCAGGTTCTACTTTTACAGAGGATATACTGCGGCTAAGGAAAGACTGGGGAACTTCATCTATGTGCGATGAGTATCTATGTCGAGGTGAAGAACCAAACTTCATAGCAGAAGATGAAGTAAAAAAGTAAACACGTTCGTCATCTTTTTTATATCTGTTCAAATTCCATTGTTCTTATCTTCTTCTTACATGTATTATAATAGTGCCTTTTATGGTAGATTCTTTTGATTATTTTTCAACAAAGATATATAGTTTCTTCCTTGAGAATCACTGGTTCTGACATCCCCTATATATTAATTGAGAAACATTTGAAAAGATGTAACCTCAAGTTTGTATTAATTAAAAAATAACCTTGCTTAGTTGTCAATCAATTAGCATATCAACTAAACTGACGTGGCGGCTTTAGGTTCAATTGAAACTAGATTTTGACCCGCGCAACCGCGCGGGTGTTTGTTTTCGTTTATAGTTAGTTATATAAACATTTTGTTTTCACTTGTAAATTGGTATATATTATAGTAATCACATACTTACGATATGTATAGTAAATGTTTTTCAAACATAATAATATTATATTATACGTGTTTTAATCAAATAGATTGTTTCAAATTTTCTATATTATAGATGTTTTTCAAACATGTGTTTGTTTCTTCTTCTATATTTTATTGTTTGTTAGATTAGTATTTCATTTTTAGATAAAGTAATATAAATAGAGCTTGATTAAATATTAGTATACTTTAATTTTGCAAAGATAATATAAACTTTGAAGAAATTTTTGCTAAAGACAAAACTTATAGCTTTATAAATTAATATTATAAAGAATTTACTAAAAAGAATTTTTTAAACAATTTTTTTTTAAAACAATATAATTTTAAAAATTTACATCGAAATAAATTTATCTAGTATATATAACGTGTAAATTTTGTTAGGGTATATAAATATTCCATATACGAATCTGTGATTTTTGTTAATATATTGTGGATGCATTTAACTATTATTGACATATTTCCTTATAAATAATAGAAGATTCCTAAACTTATATCTATTGACATATTTTGCGTGACTAAGTTGGAAGGTGTGGGGGAATTTATCAAAATCAAATTGTTAAGCGTATCTTTGTTATTATAGATATGATTTTTCATAAGATCTAATAATGATAATATTATTAGAAAATTAATGTAACATGATTTTCTAGTAATAGTCCATTTTTGTAAAAATCACACATGAAGTCAAGTCATGACTTCTGTTTTAATATATAAGATTTGCTAGGGAAAAATAATTAGAGACGCATATAACGCATGTAACATAGTTTATATATTTATATATATCGCACGCATGTAATGTAAGAAAAGGAAAATATACAATTTGATAACGATTTGCATATATTAACTATAATAACTTCATTCCTTTTAATTTATGGAAGTGTATATATAAAATGGAAAATACTTAAATTCAAATAATCATAACGTAATTTATAAATCATTGGTGTAAATTTTTGTTACACAAATATGCAAATAATCATAAAATCATATGAGTAGAAACCTCATTTAATAAATATCCATATTAAAAGTGTGCTATATTACTATGTTTATATCATTTAAATTTAATTATATATCATATACAATATATAAGATTGATTATTTTGATTTATTTACCCTAATTGTGAATAAACAAGAGTAATAGTTAAATTTA